CTCTTCCTCTGTCTCTCTGTGCACATTGATAACCCTGCTTTTCTTCCAAATGGGGACCCCTCCAGAAGGCTTATGTCAGGGGGTGTGGCCTTCTGACACACTTCCAGTGATGTCAGGGGGTGTGGCCTTATGACACACTTCCGGTGATATCAGGGGGTGTGGTATATGCTAATCAGCTCCTGCAGCTCTTTTTCTACAAAAAGACCCCTGCGAGCTTGTCATTCAAGTAATAAAAAATAAAAAATTACTTTGATCTCCTATTGTATGTATATACATATGCCAATAAAGGCTTGCCAAAGAAAGATAAAAATAAATGGAGTCCAAGACAGTTTTAAAGATCCTTCAACTACTTAATGGTGAGGATATAAGGTGTGTGAATTAATTAAGGGTGCTTTCTGTAAAGTTCCTTCTGGGTCAGCAAAAGCATCTAGCCATGTTGGCCATTTGGTCATAATACTAGAGGTAACCTGTCTATCTTGCTGCACAATCCAGTCTGAGGTCTTGTCCAGTAAAAAATATTCCCATACTTTTTGGTACCACTGATGCATTGAGGAGAGAGTCTATAATTCCCAATTTGAAGCAAGCACATGTTTTGCTGCTGCTAAAAGGGTGAAAATGAGGTCTTTTGAGGGATCCTGATTCTTGGCCATAAGTCCTTCACTCTCTGGACCTCACCTGCTGCATATTCATCTTCCTCCTTTCCTCTGATATCTATGCGCCCTGCAGGGGAGCCCTAATTCACACATGCAGTTCCGAATTACTAGTCAGAGGGAGAAAACGCATTTCCTTATCCGACAAACATGTTGCGATGTGCATATCAGGTTTCTATTTCTCGTGCTGCCCTCACCATGTCTTGGACTTCACTTTGGGTTTACGTTTCCTGCTAGTCTCATATTTGGATTAGGTTTCCAGTAATCAGGAGCAAAAAAAGTACCCTGCACGGATTGGTTCACAAGCATTTGAAAAAATCCGTAAGATCGTCATTTTCTGATACGGATTAGATAAAGCCGGGGGAGGGAGGAATGGCTGGGATGATTCACCGGGAGGAATACGAGGGAATGCCCAAAGGCATGTGCTCTTGGACTAGGGACAGGGTTACCAGCCTCCAGGTGGTGGCTGGAGATCTCCTGGGGTTACGACGAATCTCCAGACAACAGAGAGAAGTTCACCGGGAGACAATATCTGCTTTGGAAGGTGGACTCTATACCCCACTGGAGTTCCTCCCTTCCCCAAAGCCCCCCCTCCTCATGCTCCACCCGTAAAATCCCCTGGTGTTTCCCAACCCATAGCTGACAACCCTAACTAGGAAATGCACAGGTATGCCGGCGCAATGGCTACATGTGCCAATGAAAGAATTCAAGCTGAGCATGCCCACTACAGGCCCAACAAATCCCAAACTCACCGACCACCCTTATGAAGCTGCCTCATACTGAATCAAGACCCTTGGTCCACCAAAAGAGCGAGCGTCCAGGAGCACCTTAAAGACTAACAAAATCTGTGGCGGGGTAGGAGCTTTCGTGAGTCACTGCTCAGTTCTTGGTCCATCAAAGCCAGTATTGTCTACTCAGACTGGCAGCAGATCTCGTGGGTCTCGGGTCTTTCACATCACCTACTGCCTGGTCCTTTTAACGGAAGATACCGGGGACTGAACCTGGGACTTTCTGCATGCCCAGCAGATGCTCTCCCACTCAGCCACACGTGAACACCCATGAAGCTGCCTTTTACTGAATCAGACCCTTGGTCCATCAAGGTCAGTATTTTCTACTCAGATTGGTAGCAGCTCTCCAGGGTCTGTGTACGTTCCCCTTCTAAAATACTGGGTTTTGTGAGGGTCCATATGGAGTCCATTTTGGCTTCGGCAGTGTTCTGGTCTTTTTCTGTTTTATTCATTTGGCAAGCTGGTTTGTTTGCCCCACAAAGACATTTCCCTTAGGAAACCCCTAGAAGAACTGAGGCTTAGCTGCTCGGCGGGCTCCTTGTAAAGGTCTCTCCTTGCCACCTCTCAACTATTAGACTTGGTCCTTTATTGTTCCCAAGAGTCCCGTGGTCCTTCTTGCTTCAACTCAAGCCTGCTTCTCATTCTCTCCCACAGGCCAATCTTCTCACCATTCGTCATAAGTTTGCAACATGAAGTTCTTTTACAAGACTCTCCCGGTCTTCTGGATGCTACTGAAAGGTATTTACGTAGAGATTTTTACCTTGCTTTTATTCCTGCAGGGACTCAGTGTAGAGTACAATGCTCTTCCACTTCATCCTTCCTTCTTCTATTTCATCCTCACAACAACCACCCTGTGAGGTAGGATAGGCTGAGACAGCAAGACAGGCCCAAGATCATCCAGCAAGCTTCTATGGCAGAGTGGGAATTCGAACCTGGGTCTCCCAGATCAGAATGTGGCCTGCAAAATCTCTCTGCTAATTCTCCCTGCTTCACCTGCACAATTTGTATACTATAACCCCTTCCCACCAGTTATGTTACATATGCGCTGCCACCACCCATGTTTCTCCTGCATTCGTAGGGGCCTGGCACACTGAATGTAGCCTTGAATTCTATTAGGTGTCTGACAACTGCCCTGAATTGCATTCTCAAGTTTAGAGCAAAAAAAGGTCTTTGTTAGACCACTGTACATATTTGGTGGCTACATTTCACTCATCGAATCATTAATTGTACAGACTTGGAGACTGAACGTTTTAACCAGTAGTAACGTAAAATAAAGTACATATCGCAAGGCCAAACAAACAGGAATTATTACAGAGAAAGGAACAGACCCTTGGATAACGAAGTCTGAGTCCAGTGGCACCTTTAAGACGAACAAAGGTTTATTCAAGGTATAAGCTTTCATGCGCAAGCACACATCCTCAGATAACACATCCTACCTGAGGATGTGTACTTATACCTTGAATAAAGCTTTGTTGGTCTTAAAAGTGTTACTGGACTCAGACTTTGTTCTGCTGCTTTAGACCCTTGAATAGGAAGAGACTGAGGAGAAACCTGTGTTTCCTACCCAATCCTACCAATCCCTGTCATCTCTCTCTTCCTCTCTTGTCCGAAGGGGTTCTACCTGGGCCGTGGAGTGCCTGGATGCCAGAGAACATTCCTGCCTTCGAGGGCACCTGCGTGGTCATCCCCTGCCGCTTCAACTACCCTGAAGAGCTGCGCCCATCGGTCGTGCACGGCATCTGGTACTTCAACAGCCCTTACCCCAAAAACTACCCTCCGGTGGTCTACAAGTCTCGCACCAACATTGTCCACGAGAGCTACCTCGGGCGCACCCGGCTGCTGGGAGACTTGAACACTCGCAACTGCACTCTGCAGATCACCCGCCTCAGCCCGGAGCTGACTGGCAAATATTACTTCCGTGGGGACCTGGGCGGCTACAATCAGTACACCTACTCGGAGCACTGCAACCTCGAGATTATCAGTGAGTACTGGGGGGGGGGTAGTAACACTGCTGGCCAACACCAGTTCTGTGACTGACTTCCTGCCTCTAACTCCATCTGGCCTCAGTGGTGGAACTTGGGAGTTAAGAGAAGAGGGAGCTTTCTGCTTTATCTGAGACCATTTCCACAGTAGTGAAATTCTGCGAACTGATGTTTTTAAAACTGCACGTTATGTGAAATTTTCCGCAGTAGATTTTTACTCACCAGATGCAAACCTGACGTTTTCTCCTCCTTCCCCCACGTTTTAGGAATCCCCTGTTTTAGCGAGTTCCGAAAATGCAAGGTAAGGAGAAAACTTCGGGGTTTGCACCTGGTGAGAAAAAATCTACTATGGAAAATTTCACATAATGCATATCTTTAAAAATGTCAGTGTGGGGAATATCACTACTGTGGAAATGGTCTTCATCTAGGAATACTGCAAGGCTAGTCAATGAAGTAAGAACACAGCCTAGAAATCTGTTGATTTACGCTTAACCCATGAAGCTACTTTATCCTCAGTGAGATCAGTGGTCTATAAAGATCTGTATTGTCTACTCTGATCAGCAGAGGCTTTCCACGTTCTAGGCAGAGGTCTTTCACAATATCTACTACCTGATCCTTTTAAATGGTGATGCCAGAAATTGAATCTAGGGCAATCTGCATGCAGAACTGAAGCTTTAATACAGGGTAAGATCAGGAGTACTGAGTAAGCTTTCTTGCAGGGAAGTCTGCCCTCTGTTACCAAACTTCTCATTGATAAACCCTGAAAAGTTTCTAAAAAACCTTGAGGGATTCCTCGGGGAAAATATTATAATGGTGGATGAGCTTTCAGAGAGAGGCGATTAGTTAGGGGTAGTCAATGACTAGACCCCTAACAGGGGTGGAAGTGCAGGTGGTTACAGAAGTGCCTATTTCCTTATCATGCCTTCAACCCCACAGACAAACCCACCATTGTGACCCCACCAGAAGTGGTGGAAGGATCAGAGGTGGAGCTGCGTTGTGTGGTGCCCGATAACTGCCCTGAGATGAAGCCCATCATCTCGTGGACAAACCACGAGGGTTTGTCTCAGTACTCGGTCTACGGGCAGGTGGAAGAGGAGGGCAGCACCTGGTCCCTCATTTCCATGCTCAAGTTCCTACCTTCGCGTGAGAACAACCATCAGGAGTTGGGCTGCAAGGTCAACTATGTCAACACCACCTTCGAGTTTGATGCTGTCTCCATCCTGGATGTCAAATGTGAGTCCGTGTTGCTAAGTGACTGTCACCAAGGCAACCCACCACCCTGGTGCTGGAGATCTCCTCTAAAGCATGTAGTTCAGTGATTCGCCAACATTGGGCACTGTAATCCTCAGTGCATACTGATGGGTTCCCTGGCGCCCAACTGGTTTTCCCAGCCCCCTCTTTCTTAAAGCACCTGACCATCATCCAACTCGCTAGATCAGGAAGTACTTCAGAAGACCCGAGGAGGCATTGCCTTTAGGTTTGCAGGGAACACCCATTCAGAAACATCTGCCCCCATCAACAGGACAATGGCTTCAAACCTCCCAAGGTTCTGTAGCTGTCCCGCCACGGCAGCCATTTTAAGGTGGTGCCCACTTTCTCAAAATTCCAGAAGTGCCCACAGTCTTAACAAGGCTGAGGAACTCTGGTCTAGTTGGTCCCTTTGCTCTTTTTTTAAAAGCAAGTTTCTAGCTCTAACGGCTGCAGTAAGAAACTGGACAATCTATCCGATGCTGACCTCTTTTGTTGTCCTCTGCAGACATACCCCGAATCGTGCAAGCAAATTCCTCTGCAGAGGTAATACAGGGCTCGCCAGTGGTACTGGTGTGTGCCGTGGACAGCAATCCCCTGGCCCTGATCTCGTGGCTCAGGGAAGACGACCTTCTGTATGAAGAGGTTGGCGGGAGCCTCACGCTGCGTCTGGAAAATGTAACCTACCTGCAAGACGGCATCTACACTTGTGTGGCTGAGAACATCTACGGGAAGGAGAACCATACGCTGGCCTTGACCGTGATGTGTGAGTGGCTGGCCTTTCAGCACTGAGTGCGGGGGGGGGGAAGGTCTGGTTCTTGGAAGAGAAATAGGGTATAGTGCTCAGGGTGGGGGACTGAGATGCTGATCGTGTGGGATTAGTCCTCCAACAGCTTTGGAGAGTGACCAAACTGGCTGGATATCAATGGGCGATTCTGCATCTAGCATTCGCTCCACATTTCCTCAACTGGGAGGGAAAAGTGCAGCTCAAAACCACATCCAAATACCCCAGGCCAACCCCGTACTGACTGCAAAGTCGCCCCTGAATGGCCATAAATCTATGGAGAAGGTACCATAAAACCCGACGATCAAAGAAAGTGAAAGCGGCATGCAGTGTGGAGGGTACTGTAAAATCCAGTGATCAAAGAAAGTGAAAGCAGCATGCAATGCAGAGTGGAACTTCTGTTCCAATGTGGGTTTGGTAAAACGGAGGGAAAAGCCAATGCAGAAGCTCCCAATGTGTGATGAGCTTCCTAGGATGGCTGTATAAGTCTCCTTGGGGGGGATGTTTTGAATTGGGTTCACTCTGAAACGATGTTCCAACTTGGCTTCCGCTCTGCTCAGTCCAACTTGGAAAAGCCAGGAATGCAGTCATTTTGTCACACCGTAGCTCCAGAATCAAGGCCTCGAGGTTCACAAAAGCGATGCCATTTTTATTTTTATGTATTTATTTCTTCAATTTGTATCCCACCCTCCCTGCAAGCAGATTCAGGGCTGCTTACAAGGTCACATAAGTATCGTGAGAAAGAGACAATATAAAAATTCAAACAACTAAAATTTTAAAATTCCATAAATTCCATGGGAAAAAACAAAGCAAAAGTTGCCTCGGTGGTGACGCTCAAATGGAAACCTGGGCGGTGTTGTGGAGTATCAAGCCACTAACCACTAGGCTAGGGTTATCAGAAGGGAAGGCCAGAAATGGAATTAGGACGCCCGCTGCCACAACTAAAAACTAAAAGCCCGGCAGAACAGCTCCGCTTTGCAGGCCCTGTGGAATTGTAAGAGATCCCGCAGGGCCCTGATCTCAAATGGGAGCTTGTTCCACCTGGCCCTAGTTAAGACTAGCCAGATGTCCTTCGGGCCACGGACAACCATAAAATATTGATCAATTGAGTACGGGACGTGGACATATCATGCTAAGCCTATCACGGCCTGAAGGTATCCTAACGGGTGCTAAAGCTCTCTTCTCATTCTGTTTCTGTTTTGCAGGGTGTAAATACAACATTGGTCAGGGAGTCTTCTGAAAATGTTCTAAATTTTGGGATTCTTCTTTGCGTTGCCGTTAGGGTAAAAGATGCGCATTTCCCTTGACCCTTTCTCCCCTCTTCAGATGCACCTTGGAAGCCCATAGTGAACGTGTCGGTGATAGCAGTCGAGGGAGATCCTGTGACCATCCTGTGCAGCACGCAGAGCAACCCTGAACCCATCATCACCATCTTCAAGGAGAAGAAGGTCATGAAGACCGTGGTCTACAGTAGCCAGCTGGCCCTGGAGTTCTCATCCGTGACGCACGAGGATGACGGCGAATACTGGTGCATCGCCGAGAACCAGTTTGGCCAAAGCGGCAGTGCCTTCAACCTGACCATTGAATGTGAGCATTGGCCTTAGGGGTTCGTTTGAATAACAAAGACATTTAAAGCAAGCCAAATGATAATGAAAGGGAGAGAGTGCATTGGGGCATGTGCAGAATGCCACTGCTTGATTAAGCATGGAGCTGTCTGTCTCCCCACCTCACCTTCCTTTCTCTGTAGCTTCTGGAGCAGCAGGGTCTTGCAGAGGTGGACGATCCATTGCATTAGCATTACTGCTTCATCATGGGACGATCCTTACTGTTCCTGCAAACACACTCGCCCTTAATACTAAGGGGCTTGATCCAGACTCAATTTCCTATGAGTGGAAAGAAACTTTCCACCTGTCCCCTCCCACTGCAGGCCACTGATCTCCACAAAATGCTGCTCCTGGGAGACAGGGGACCCTGGAAAACAACAGGAGGAGGTTACGAAGTGGGAAGTGGGAGGGATCACTGAAAACTGCCAATAGAACCTGGTTCCCACCCAACACAACAAAAGAGAACGTATACCATGTTGCTTTGCAACTGCAACTGAGCCACTGTTGCACTTATTGGTGGTAGCACAATTAGCTATAGAGATGCATTGGGAAAACTGCTGTCTTGTTGGAATCGTTCCACTTCTCTCTTTCCTCCCCGCCCTTTAGTTGCCCCCCTCATCCTCCCGGAATCCAAGTGCACGGCCGCACGGGACACGGTGCAGTGCATCTGTGCGGCGAAATCAAACCCAGAGGCCGTGATCGTCTTCAAGCTGCCCACCCGCAACGTGACAGTGAACGAGACCGACCGGGAGTTTGTGTACTCTCAGAGAACCGGCTACACCATCACCAGCATCCTCACCCTGCGGGGGGAAGTGGACTCTCAGCTGTACATCGTCTGCTCCGCCAGGAACCTCTACGGCACCAAGGACCAGCAGCTCCAATTCCACCACTCCAGTGAGAGCCCCCGCTGGCCACAGTCCCCCCTGTCTATTATTTATTTGTTTGTTTTATGTATTTATTTATAGTCAAACGTATACCCCGCCCTCCCCACAAAGCAGGCTCAGGGCGGTTTCCAACAACAAATACAACAATACAAACATAAATAATACAGAATTAGAACACAGCATTTAAATAGTACATAACAAAATATCAGTGTACTGGCGGCAGTTAAAAATCAAACGAATAAAGTGCTTTTAACAAAGTGCTTCAATGTTTTCCATGTAAAGTGTTTAGATGTTATTCTGCTCATTCTTGAGGCAGCTGCTCGATGTTAACATTACGGGCCGTGCACTGGGGGGGGACTAATTGTATGCCTGGCGGAAGAGCTCCATCTTGCAGGCCCTGCGGAACTGTGAAAGGTCCCGCAGGGCCCTGATCACCTCTGGGAGCTTGTTCCAACAGGTAGGGGCCACCACCGAAAAGGCCCTAGCCCTAGTAGCAGCTAGCCTGGCCTCCCTCGGGCCAGGGAGGGTCAGCCGATTTTGAGACCCAGACCGTAGTGCTCTCTGGGGTATATACGGGGAAAGGCAGTCCCGTAGGTATGTTGGACCCCAGCCATATAGGGCTTTAAAGGTAAGAACCAGCACTTTGAAGCGGATTTGGTATGCTATTGGCACCCAGTGCAGTGTCCTCAGCACAGGCTGGATGTGCTCCCATCTAGGGAGACCCATCAACAGCCTGGCTGCGGCATTCTGCACTAGCTGCAGCTTCCGGATCCACGACAAAGGCAGCCCCATGTAGAGAGCGTTACAGTAGTCTAGTCTCAAGATGACCATCACGTGGATCACTGTACCCACGTCAGCATGGTCAAGGAAGGGAACCAACTGCCTAATCAGCCTCAAATGATAAAAGGCCGACTTGGCAGTGGCAACTACCTGGGCCTCCATGGTAAGGTAGGCATCCAGGAGCACTCCCAAACTCCGAACCTCCGGCACCAGGACCAGTGAGCCCCCCCCCCAAAGGTCGGGGGTGGGGACCGCCCCGACCCAGGCACACGACCTCCATCTTTGCTTGATTCATCTTCAGCCAACTCAGTCTGAGCCACCCAGCCACGGCCTGCAAAGCGCCATCCAGTTCATCTGGTCTGGAGTCCGACTGGCCACCTAACATCAGATAGAGCTGGGTGTCGTCAGCATATTGGTGACATCCAAGCCCATACCTCCAGGCAATCTGGGCGAGGGGGCGCATATAGATGTTAAATAACATCGGGGACATAGTTAGCCAATTCGGCCGGGTCTAAAGATGGCTTTTTTAAGAGAGGACGGACCATCGCTTCCTTGAGTGCCCCAGGGAATTGCCCCTCTAAGAGGGACTTGTTGATAATCTCCCTTAGGGCACCTCGAAACCCCTCACGGCCAGATTTAATAAGCCAGTTAAGGGCATGGGTCAAGACTGCAAGAGGTTGGGCGCACAGCTGCGAGTAAACTGTCAACTTCCTCCAGACTGAGGGGGCTGAAGCGATCCAGGATCGAATCCAAAGACATGCAATGGGCCTCAAGCTCACTCACTGTATCAAGTGTGGCGGGGAGGTCACGGCGGAGCGCCAAGACTTTATCCGCTTTGTTATACCTTTGTTCCTCAACAAGATGGTCTACGGGTCACAACGAGCCAATGGAGACCCGCTAATCGGTCCTTTGCTTTTCCCTTTCCTGTTTCCACTGCCTCGCCCTGGGTTGTGTTCCTGGCTGCCACGTCTCAGTGTTAAGCTGTTTCTATCTACAGTTTTCCCCACATTCCATAATAGGTAAAGGGAAACACCTCTTAGCTGTAGAACGCCTGGAGGTCCCCGCTGTAATCCCTGGCAGCTCCAATTAAAGGATCTCCAAAATCAAGTATAGGGGGAAGACCTTTCTCAGGGTTGAGGCCATGGAAGCCTGCTGCCAGTCAGAACAGCTAACCGCTTGAGCTGTGTAGTCCAAAGGTCTGATTCATATAAGGCAGCTTTATGTATTTATTCAGGTGCGGCTTTTCTCCCTGCTGGGAACCCATCGTCCTCTGTTATATCCTCATAAGAGCCACCAGCCTTTGAAGTAGGTGAGGCCCAAGGTCACCCAGCAAACTCCCAAGGCCGAGGGGCGATTCCAGCCAGGGTCTTCCAAATCCTGTTCCAACTCTCTAATCGTGACGCCACATGCCGGCCATTTCCTATGGTTATATGATGGCGGGAAGTTCCAAGGGAAGCCCCTACAGGGTCTGTTCCTTTATAAGGAGAGAGCGCGAGAGTATTTTTTGGTGGTATCTGTTTATTTACAGATACGCAAGTTGAGAGCAAAGGGGAGCAGTCGATTTAAAACCATACCTACTCCCTCCAAAAAGTACACTGTGAGTGCCTTACCCTTGTCCCCCAGCACATTATCGTTGGACTTCTCCAGTCCGAAGTGAGAGTTGTACCCTTCTGAGCCCATTGACCTTTATAGGTTTACGGGGTAACTCTGCTTAGGAGTGGACTCATAAGGTGCGGTCAGACAGCATGCTGAGAGCGGGTTAAACTGCTCCGGCCCCGATGCGTTTTTTTTTTAACCTGGAGAATCGCGATCACACTCACCTCCTTGCTCCGGATCACTCCGCAGCCACATTGCTCCCCGCCATGCATCGGTGTTGTTTTTTCTCTCAGTTTGGGCATGCGCACAGGCAGCCATCTGTAAAACTAAAATTTTCACGCGTGCACAGAACAGCGATTTCCACTTCGACCCGGCTGCTGTAACACTTCCCTTTAAACTTTAAAGGAACACTTCCCTTTAAACTTTTACCCCGAAAATGGCCTCTGTGAGATCCCGAACTCATCTAAAGGCTAAAACTAGGCACCGTTTAAACATTGTTTTTAACAACACGGTGGCAGAGCTCCACCTATGCGCACACAGCCAACACTTTTTTTAAAATGGTGGGCGAAAAGTGGAAGCCTCGGGCAGCTTTTGAGTGGGGAGGGGGTTTAAACCAGAAGTGACTCGACTCCAGAGGTGCGATCACACAG